TCCTTACTTATCTGACAAAGAACATTATTTTGACGCCCACTTTCACTTTTAACTTAGTTACCAGAAGAACAAACAAACCCATATTGTGGCCTACAAACAAATGTGCCACGAGGATATATCGATGCATCACTTCAATTTTATTTTTCAATACTTGATTATTTTCAATATAAATTTTACTGTTCTTATTTAATAACTTACTTTAATGTGTTTGATGTGCAAAGCATGGGGTATGGCGTCTGCATCCGTTCCCAAAAAACATATTAATATTTCTTCAAAAATGTTATTTTTATATAATCTTGAAAGAAACTCATATAGAAGTTTTTGAATTGTGATATAAAAATGTGTTGTTACCAAATCAAATGATTATTATTGTATTTGCTTGAAAGAGAAATTCAACTTGCAACTAAACTTAAACTTGAAGCCCACAATGCCGTCCAAAGAACTAAGTACTATGTGGATTTTGCCATACAATTTGTCTTTCGAGCTTGCCAACGTCTTTTTGCCTAAGCCTGACTTATGATGTAGTTTCCTCTTATAGGCATACAAATAGTAATAACAAATAGGAATTTAATCGAAATCTTGCTACGTATTTGTTCATACTTTACTGCGCATGCCACATGAATACCATGAAATTTAAATACCATAAATTAATAATACTGTAGAAAGTAGTGTAGGAGTTCTTGGAATGGTGAAGCAAAAGCTTCTAAATCGAAACATTCAACCTAAACATAAACATTAAAGGTTGACAGCTATTGGCGACCACAATGGTCGACAACAAGCTGCCACACGTCGGTCAATTAAGCTGTTAATATGTGGCTGACAAACTGGCTATGATTGTCAAAGGAAGAGTGTTTGCTTAGCCTTCGATGTCTGCCCCCAATGGAGTCGTATGCATGCAGCCTCTCCCCCTAGCTAAGCGGTCTCCAGCAGGCTTAGGAGCAGCCTAACAGCCACATCTGTTTATTGACACATTTTTCATCATTTTCTTACCAAATCCGTAGTCAGGACAGAGGACAGTGGACAATGGACAATGCACTGGATGAACGCCTGGGCACAAGAGCTCTCGGCATCCCCAAATTTTTTGTTTAGACAATTGGTCTCGGCGTGGATCTTGTTTGCCAGTGCGCCCATAAATCATGTCACTTGGTTACAGTTGCGGTCGCAGTCGACCTCTGATCTCGTCGTCGTCAGCGTCGACCAAACCAAAAAGATTAGAGAAGAAGGTGAAATCAAAAGTATTATTACCACCGCTTGGGAGTTTCACGGTTTTCCACAGCCTTTGTGCGGTTTGTTGGCCGTCGTTCCCAAAAGCCAAATGAAAACGTCAAATCATTCATAAAACTTGTTTTGTTGCCTGGCATTGATTGAGCCAACACACCTCCCATGCTCCTCAATCGACAACAATACTTGTATAAAATGCACAAAAAGAAAATACATACACTGACCTGACCCATTGCTGGCCAGTCTAGCCATCCATTTCCCCTGCTTTGTTCGGCAGTACGGACCTGTAAGTAACCTGTTCCATTGCTCTGCCAGCTTCACTTTCATTCACAACGAAATCTTTTCAAATCGTTTTCCTGCTGCCCGTCCTGTCCGTCCCCTTATTGTTTGTCAAAAATTGGTTTATGGAAACACATTGAGATAAGTTCACTTGAATTTTCGTGCTGCTGCTTTGTTAGCAGCCTTGATTAATGCTTAGCCATGATGTGGATGTCCTACTCTCATTCCTATACCTATACCTACACCTACACCTACACCTATACTCGCATGCAGTTGACTCTATTCTGAATATTGTTGGCTGGTGTCTACGCCCGGGTGTTTCGGTTCGCATTGTGTGGCATGTTCCTCATCATTCCTTTACCTATTTAATGAGTCAATCAATAAGTCAATTAGCTTGCCACACTGAACTGTAGATTTTGATGCTCAGCTCAGCTCCAAGGAAATGTAGAACGCTTCTGGAAATAAAAACCTAGCAATATGCATGTACTCGTGTTTCTGAACTCTACTACGCGTAATTGTATTGAATTGTCCGAACTATTGTATCCAAGTATATCCCTAATGACTTTTTATAGTATGTTTTATGGATATAGTATTTAACAAATGATTTTATGTTCATTTATTTATTTATTTATCTATAAGCATTATCCTAGCATTCAAAGTTTGAGGATTATTTATATATTAATATGCTAGTCATTGATATTAAAATTTAATTTTATTTTAATATGAAATGTTATTTAATGAGACATTAAACATAAATTATTATTATTTTTTCCTTTTTTTATGTTACTCTATGTATGTATGTATGTATGTATGTATTTTTGTTGTTGTATAGTATGTATGGTGCCTATTATAAGTTAGATAACATCCACTTAGATGTATTTTAAATCTAAAGTGATTTTCGCTGTGATTGTTTTTCGTTCCAAAAACGAACAGCGGGTATGAAGAAAAGCCTGTTAATAATTTGAGTTTTTAGTTCGAGCATTGAAAATTGTTATTATGTATTGATTGAGAAAGAGTTTTGTTTGAAAATATTATGTTGGTATTTAAAAATATTGTGGAACTAAATGCAAGTTGCGAATGTTGTTGTCGATGATGACCAAATGCAGAAAGATTAAGAAATGCATTCCAATAGAAAACTTGATAGTCGACCGCAGTAGAATACAGTACATCATAGACATAGATGGAGGCCGATGACTTAGCTGACCTACTGTTCATTTGTAGAAACTTCTGAATAGTTATTTACACAATTCTCAAATTAATTATGCCAACGAATTAATGCAAATCTTTTATGAGTAAGAGCTTTAGTATTTTGTTTTATTTCTTATTTTTTTTACTAATAATCTGCTGTTTTCTTCTTTTTGTAAATTGAAAACATTTGTTCAATTTGTAGATAAATCAGGATGGTAGATATATTTCTTCGAAGTGTCCTGCTTTCTGTTTTTTTTTTTTACAAAAGAAAAGCCATCAGAAATATTCTTGAAGGATTGGCAACAGGTCCCTTTTTGTCTTGAGTTGGACTGTGATGATTCCGATAATGCAGTTCTGTTTGGCAATCCGTGGTAGTGCTTGCTTGTGTTCGTTTGTATAATTATCTGAAATAATTTTTTTATTTGAGCAAGTGAATCGAATTGTAATTTTAGATCATAGCACTATCGGTAATAGACTGTCCGGTTCAAAGCCCACTTCATGCGTCCTTTCTCCAGCATGTAGTCGGTCCCCATTTGTGTTTAATTTCTTTGCAAACATTGTCCAAATGTCTATTGGCAAATGTGTTTTTATCTTAAAAGTTCAAAGTTCGTGCAATTAAAATTTCACGCCCTAATAGTCGAAGTGCATGTGTGTGTGTGTGTGTGTGTGTGTGTCCGATTGCGTGTTTATCAATAAAATATTGAAAAAAATGATGTGGCAAATTATCAGGCGCAGCTATGACAACGTCAGGTGGTGGCCAAAGATCGTCGGCAGTAGAGAGTGTAAGGGGGAGGAGGCGGAGTAGGAGGGGGGAGGTGGGGAGTGGTTGCTGCTGTTGTTGTTATTCCTACACTTGTTTGAGCGCATTCGATACGGATGGAAAATAAATGATAGAGACGGTTAAAGCGTGCAGAGTCCTCACTTGTCAACCTCCACCTTAGCTATACATATACATACATACTTGTATATATTTTTTGTTGGGCTCAAGTCAACGCCTCGAAACTCTATGGACGGAATTCTAGGGGTTCGAGGCCTGTGGTGGTGACTGAGACTGTGACTGTGGCTGCTGCGTCGCTGCCGGTGATAACGCGAAATAATTGCGTGACAACCATGTTGCGATAATTTTCAATTAAACGGCTTTTTTGTTATTGTTGCTGCAGCCGAAATCAGAAAAAAGGAAGCCAACAAAAAAATGTATATATACATACATACATATATACATATGTACATACATATATACTCGGCAAGCGGCAAACAAGAGCAGCGTGAAATTTCATATTAAAATCAACTGATTTTCTGCTTTCATTTATTCATGCTGTTGTTGTTGTTGTTATTGTTGCTGCCGCTACTGTTGGTGTTGCTGGGTGCTGCCTCACACACACACGCACACACACACACACACAGGTTCACATACATACATGGCAAGGCAAATAAAAAAGCAATTGTTACAATTTGCTGTTGTTCATGTTTCACTCGCGCTTGCCATTGTTGCCACCATCATCGCTGAAGTTGTCGTTGTCGTTGTCGTTCTCGTTGTTGTTGATGCTGTTCTCGTTGCCGATGTCGTTGCCAGCTGAAAAGTGTCACACTTGTGCGTCATTAACGCCGTCGACGTCGCTGTCGCTGTTGCTGTTGCTGCTACCACCGGTCACAGCTGGTGGGTGGTTAGGTGGTTGGTTCCGTTCATTTGGCTTTGGTTGCCGAGCTGCCATTTGGGGTTGCCATTGCCACTGCCACTGCCACTGCCATTGCCAGCTGCAAGACGACCATGGCCATGTGGTTTGATTTGCCACCGCCACCGCACCCGCACCCGCCAACCGGCGCCCACACTTTTTTTTTTTTTTTTTGGTTGGTTGGTTGGCTGTTGGCAGCGTTTTGGGGGTTGCTGCTGTGGTTGCCAACGACATGGCCATTTTTTTGGATTGTCCAAAACGCCACCAAAATACCAAGAACGTGCCCCACTATCCTGCAGCCTGCCCAAACCTTCCACTCGCGCCTGTTAATTTGATTTGCGCGCTTTGCAATTGAACAATAATATTGTCATCAGGGTGTCAGGGATGCCAAAAAGCGGGCGTAACCAATTGTTATTTAATTATGCATTTGCCGTCTACAAAGCACTGTCATCAAAAGAACAAACAACAAGCGAGCAGTAGTAGGAGCAGTGTCAAATGTCAAATTTTGACCGACACACCTTAGGAGTCTGCGTCACACTTGACAGTCCCAAGGCACAGAATACTGGCGACAAATTGCAAGACTCATTCAACTTTTCAGAATAATTAAAAAAAGAGAAAAAAACCTGAACAGCCCTTCCGCAGTATAGACAATCTTAAGAACTTCAACGCCAAGATGTGGGCTAAGAAATGGGAGCAGGTTCTAGATCTTGAACCGGAGTCACAGTTAGAAGAAGCCAACGGGCAAGAGGAATTACCAGAGCAACAAAATGCCGGGAAAGGAGAGGGAAATGAGAAACATATTGAAGCGAGGGATGCAATATTTAAGCAACAGAATAAGCGCGAGCAAGAAACCGAAAAGAATCATGTAGAAAATGTAAAAGAACCTAAAGATTTGGAGCCGGAACAAGATCAACCATTGGAACAGGCTCAACAGACAACTCAGGCCACTCTGGCCACCCAGGACATCCAGGAACCTCAGTCCGACCCGCAACTAAGTGAGGAGCATGAGCGCAGAATGATTAATGTAATTCTGGATTTGATTGAGCGCTTGTTGAATGATATAGAGCGCAGCTTGCAGCAGATGGATGAACGTATTGAGCGATTATTTCTGGAGCCCATCGCAACTCATCGCAACCGCCGCAAATGGTCGCCAGGCAATTAAGAATATTTACTTAAAAATTATTATATATTAGAACAACACTTGCAACATTTGATAAGACTGGATTTTAAATTCATGGCGGTAGCTATCTTTCTCTATAATTTATAATGCTTAAAGCTTATCCCCCATATCTCTCACAGATGAACCTCTTTATCCCCTTCATAGCAGAATCCAGGGGAGAAATTTAATGCAGTTGCAAAATACAATGCTTAATGTTTATTTAAAAATCTTTAAAGAACTCATGAAATCCACTTTCGTATTGTATTGTTTCTATATTCTGTATTGTTGCCTTGTTTCAAAATAAAAATTGTTATGCCCCGAGCCTTTTAAAGCGTGTGCTCGAATGGTGAAAAGATATGCTATACTCAGAACTGCCTCTGCATACGCAAACAAGAGTTAACCAACGTCTGGCAAACGCCATGCTATAGATACATATCTGCACAGAATGTCCGTCTGTATGAACACCGTTAACTTTTAAAGCATATCAGCTAGGGACACCAAGCTCCGTATGTAGACGCAAGCATGTTTATTACAAACTAGCATCATTATTTTATGTCACTTATTTGTTTATAAGTTTTCTAAAGTCCCTCACTGAATGAAGCATACAATATAAACTGTATTGCTTATTATAGTATATATATAGTATACATATAAATACATATGTATATTATATATTATAGCTCGCTCTACTACAATGATCTACTCTTTTTACAGTTCGAAATATTAATCGGATACGATTTCATAAAGCATTGCATCCGCCAAACTCTGCATTTGAAGTGAAGGCCATATCCAAACCGTGTTTATTATAAATCAGGTGTAGCTTCATTTTTTATATAGCCATAGGGACAATTCGTGCAAAAATATTCCCGTCTCCTTGACAAATTCTGTCCAAATTAAACAACTGTTGCTCTGAAATTGCGCGGATAAATGTATAAAATCCATTGTTTAATAAAACTATCCCCGAAAATATACTAAGTATGAACAACTTTTTTGCTTAAAAGAATATATTGATATCTGATCACCATAAAAATCAGTGCACTATATGCACAAATGGTGCGGAAGATCGATGGATAAGTATAATCGTACTTCATTGTTTTTTGTGAAGTAAAGAGTTCGCCGAGCAGTGTTAATCATCACGATGGTCGGGATATTATTGATATTCAGGCTTAGGTTGCATTAACCGGTCCAGTTGCTCGATAAGCCAGCTATTATCCTATTAAGATGGTTTCCGCAGCTTGCAAAAGGTACAGGCAAAGTGTCTTTCTAGTCTGTGTGGACAGAAATTTACCTGCTGGATTACATCGGAGTGTCAAATGGCCCAACCAGGTCTCTGGAAAGCAGCTAATGCTCTTACATGCAATATGTGTTATATGGACATGGCATGTCCATTGATATAATGCAAGGATGCTGCGCAAAATATCATAAGTCGTCGCATAATAATAGGCCCAAATCCCAGCAAAAAAGCAATGTGGAAATTAAATTTACGGCAAAAGAAGGCGAGGGAAGCGCTTTTCAAGACTTCCCTTGCCGCATGTAATTGGCACAGGATATGGTTAAGGATGTGACGGCAACAGGAATGAAGAGTCGGCAGCAAATAATTCAATTTTTGTAAGACGGCGTTGATGACGGTTGCGGACGAGTGGGAAAGGCAATGCCAATGGCAATACTGCCTTATAGTATTCATCTGGGAATGCCTTGCCTTGCCTCGGGGTCCTTTTTATTTTCAATTTCTCCTTGCTTGTTTCTTGTTGCTGGAGTTGTCATATTTTTGCAATTGAAACCGAGCAAAAGCCATTTGCTGGTTTCACACAAAACACGAAAGCGGGTCACGACACGGCCACGTCTGCCCCGACAGTTCTTTTCCTTTTCAGCCCGACCGTCCGCCCAGCTGGTTCCTTCGTCTCCAGCCTTGCCGCAGTCTTTGTTCTTGCACGTCTTAACAGTGTCAACACGGGCACAGGAAGTCGGAAGGAAGGCCGCGCACGCGATGCCATAAAAGTAGCTTAACTTGGTCAACTTATCATTGTTAGCTAGCTTCTTGATTTCGCCAACGCCTGCCCCCTCGAAAGCAGATGAAATATACAGCACGGTTTCACAAACCAAAACGGGGCAGGTGTACGAATTTAGGAAAATTGTTTCTCTGTTGTTTCCCGTATCTATATTCCACACTAACATGTTTATTCTATATTTTGCATCGTTATTAATTCATTTTACGATTTAAGTGCTCCCAGATGCAGTGAATTAATAAATGATGAACTATACTCTTGGGATGCTAAGAAGAAATTATTGAGCGGTTGATAAAAAGCAATGTTACATGGGAAATCGTAGCAGAGCTTTTCTATAAATTGAAATCAAAGTACATTCCCCATAAATACAATGCCATTAGAATCAAAGGTCAAAGATCAACAACTAATAAATAAAGGATTGGAATTTGTTTGGCATAGTTCTTCTGGTTTGTATTGAGATTAAAATTGACTACACAGTCAACTTAGCTTCGAACCATTCTGGTCTATATGTGAATTAGCATTCCATCGATTGTTTTCCTTGGAGTATCAGTCTCTAACCCCTGGATATTTTCAGAGACCCGTAATCTCCTGCATTTGTGAGCTGGACGAGTCAGGATAGTGGCTTCTTAACGATTGACTTGTGAGTTCGATTTCAAGAGAATGTTTTCGCGGTTTTTAGCTGAAATTAGGTTTAGGAATTAGGTTTAGATATTAATTATTAATTCGGTAAAAGCTCGGTATCATTTTTACGCTACAATATAGTATATGTATATAGTATATGTTAATATAATATATGTTATATTAATATTAACACAGCCAATACTTAATTACAAATCCAATGTTTTATTTGGATACATAATATAGGTTTTTATTGACACTCTTCGATATAAAACTTACATATGGTGGAATAATACCAGAGATTTTGGTTAATAATCTATGAAAATATTATTGATAGATATTGCAGGTTTTGCAAGATGTTCTGATAACTTCAGTTGAGGCGTTTCTAAAGAGTTAACTGGGCGTAGAGCTCTCCATTCTCATTGGTTGGGATACATATTATTGGTTTCTATTGCCACTTTCGATACAATTTGTCGTTTTGTCATTTTATACGAATTTTTTTCTTGCTCTGATAGACCAGATAATGCAGGTATAACTGATAACTGATAACTTCAGTTGAGGCGTTTCTAAAGGGCGCTACCCATATAGCATATTCCTATAATTTTTTGCGTCTAGTTAGAACTTCCCTTCCCGGGAAAGCTTGATAGTCGTTTTGTTGCGTGAAATTGTCGCTAATTAGCAGGAAGGTAAGTATTTCGACAAATCGTTCATCAAATCCAAATTAACGGATGTGCCATTGCAACAAGCGTTCAAAAAAGATGATTGCCGGGCGTCATTAACGTTTTGGGCCGTACAAGTGAGGAACAGCAGCCCCTTTACGCCTGTTTGAGTGACATATGCCTTATACTTACGAGAGTATTCTCTACGGTTGGTGCACGGGAGGGTTGAGGGTGGAAGCACGGCAGGGTTTGGGTTTGGCATTGTGTGCCGCTTTTAATGAGTGCAACGTGTTTTTGTTCACATTTCGAACAACGCAAATTTTTTGACAATGATGATGACAAGAACAACAGCAACAACAACGACACAGAGCACACAACAACAACAACAACAGCAATAATAATAATGACGAGTACTAGTCGAGGGCACCCACAATGCTTGAGCCTTGCACCCACTAACCACTGAACCTTTGCACAGTCGTTGTTATTGTTAGTTGTTGTTGCTGTTGCTGTTGTTGTTGTTGTTTTCGTTTTTTAATATTTGCGGTTGTCGCTGTCCGTTGTTAACCATAAGCCATCAACTTGAGTTCAATTAAAATCCACATCAAACAATGAGCGAGCACGTAGGAACTACTTCAGAATTGGCACAACCGACCAACACACAACACACACAACAATGCCGCAGCAGCTTTTGTGGGTGGTTGATTTTTGGGTGGTTTTCATTTTGAGAGTTTTGGGCTCGTACGCTTCCTTTTTTCATTCTGGAATCAAGAATTTGGGTTTGAGTTTGAGTTGGGCTTGGGCTTGGGTTGGGGTTGAGGTCTGGATTGTTGGGCAGGTTGCGGCTTACTATAAGTCTTGCGAAAAGAAAACGCACACGTGTCCGCAAAACTTGTTGTACACAATCCGTGCTTTCGCACGCATTTAGCGAAGGAGTGTCGCTCTTAAGTTGAAAGTCATGTAACTGTAATTGTTATGTGTAAAAGCTTATACCTACTCGTATGAAGGATAATGCATCCCGAAATTTCAAAGCAACTAAAACCGACTGAGCTAATGGGTGCCCGTGACTTAGAGCGTGCTCAACTAACAGAAAAAGCAACGGGCCACATTTCTTGCACAAGATCTGATGCTATTTATCTGACGTTTTGAGGATCCGTAATCTTCAAGCTCATTCTCCACCGATTAATTACTAGAGTAGCACCTCCAAGCTTGACCATTCACAAATAAATGGTTTTTGTTCAGAATAAGCGAAGCAATAAGAGTAAAGAAAATTATTGACTTACTGTTGAACAAATTAAATAATATTACATAAAATTTGATCGCTTCGTCTTAAAGAGGTTGAGTGCCAACACCTGTCAGTTTATTATTTTATTTTATAAACCACTGAATGATTTGCTTGATTGGTTCATAAACAAACTAAGCAAGCGATTAAACATTTAACAAATTTTGATATTTTTTAAAACTTGCCCATTCTATTATTATTTCATTACTTTATACATCAGAAAGATCAATTCGCATTTAATTAAATTTTCTAGTAACAAAAATATATTAATTAATTAATTAATATATTAATTGTCCCCATTTCTAACATACTCGAACAACCTGAATAACTGGAAATGAGCACTCTTCTTGGCATTTACATTTTTCTGATCTATTTATGGATTGCATTTTTGGGTTAAATAGGGGCATTGTTTCCTAACGAATATCGGAATAACTGCGATCTAACTGTTTGGTAGATTTTTGGTAATTGTGTAGATTTAATATCGCTGAAATGGGCATACAGAACTATATTATAATAAATATAAATAATACTACTCCAGAGCGTAGACCTCAAAATTTTATGAGAATTCTTTTCGGCTTGTCATAGGTTTTAAATACTTTTTTATGAAAACACATTTGTCAGCTCGCTGGCTCTTCATATGGGTCATGGATGGTAAGGGTAAGGTACCAAATTCTTTGGCAGCGCCATTTCCTTTGCTTAGTAACCACCGAATCATCAACCACCGTGCCATCGTGCCACTGTACCACCA